CGAATTCGTACGATCCGTAGTACGTGACGATGACAGATTCATAGTCTATGGCATGGTCCGTCCACAACCTTCCTCCTGAATATATGGATGCACGCCCCTTCTTTCCTCCTTCCTCTTTTTCCTCTCCATCTACTGAGCGATTCATTTGTCGGTCTTTGATCCGCGACCAACAAGCCACTACCGGAAAATTAGAAAGATTTATTAAGCTCCTCCACGCTTGTGCTATTGCTCTGTCTATTGCTAATTTTCATTAGGTACATTCGATTTCATTTGGTATTATCGATATAAACGAAATAGCAATAACGGGCGTTGCGAAGATCAATATAATCAATATAAATTTATAAATTGGTTAATTCTTTTTGGTACATACGTTAATAGCAGCCATTAGAATTAATTAAGGAAGGAATACAAGAAGTAACAAGTAATTTTTTTAAAAGCCTGGCAGTGCGCAATTGAAAAACGCAGGTAATAGGAAGAAAGAACAGATTTCAACTTATACAGGAACCGTGTATACCTATATCAATATATGTGTATATGGTTTCTGGATAGACTGAAACGTGTTGTTTATACCTGTGCTTTTCAAGCCTGCTGTCTCAGACTTAAGAGAATTTTTCCGAGTCAGTATGTCTAATAATGCATGCTCTTCCGATATAATTACATATATTTGTGTGTGTGTGTGTGTGTGTGTGTATTCTTTCCACTTGTAGTGGCACGCGAAACAACAGCAGCGTGAGCATTTTGAATCAGCGTTCGTTAACTGATTGTGAGAAAAAAATCCAGTCAAAAATTGGTTCCGTTAGAAAAGATACTCGGAATGACGTGACGGGAGAGTGAAAGATTCCAGACGCTTCCTTAAAAGTCACCGGTTACGCCTTCGCGATAAAGAGGGTTTGTAAGGACTAATAAGTGCATGTGGAAAAGGAATCTGCATCTTGAAATATATAAAAGATATAACTATAGAAGAAAAATCAGCAATTATATTGTATTGAAGCTCATTCACTGCATACACATATATATTATATGTGTGTATATACAATTATTATAAAAATGTTACCTTGTAATCTAAAATTAATTCTATAGTTGTAATGAAAACAATTAACACTTTAATTAATTTTAACAGTTAACATTATATATTCGTATATTCGAAAATAATTCCGAGTAATTTTGTATAATCAGCGTCTTGTCATTAATTACACTAGCCTGCAACAAAAATTGTTTTAATAATTTTAACTGTTTTTAACGTATTTTTGTCTGCTTAACACGAATCCGTTTTCCTGATTTGGCTATCTGGCACGTCACAACTTTGAGAAAAAAGGCGTCAAAGAATTAAAAAAAGACCATTTTGATGGTCTTTGCGAATATATGTTGTAGCACCGACAGCAAAATTTGTTGAAAATTTCATTAGTGCCACATAAAAGTATATCAACTTTTAACTTTCAAACTTTCACCTTTAAATATACCGAGCCCTGTCCAGAGTATATAAATTCATATAGGCTAGTGTTATTTCTTGTTTCGCGATTTCGCGATAAATACATACGTATCTCGATAATTAAGAGATTGTTGCTTTTAACAAAAACTAAACTCATTCCTTTGAGTTGGCGATAAAGATTTGTCCTTTATTTTTCGACGTTAGTTAATCTGGAGGAGCTATCGCGTCGCGAGTCGCGAGTCGCGAGCTGAGAACTGAGAAGTGGTGTCGGTCGCTGATGATATTGCGTACGGTGGTGAGTGAGGTTGACCTCTCGGTGAGGATCAACTCTGGTTATATAGTCGCAAATGTCGCAATATACCTATAACGACGCGAAGATGAAAGAATATGGTAAAGAAGGGGAAAAGGGTGTCTTTTTACTGCCGTCACGCGCCGTCGATAAGCATGGGCTTTTCTCTGTGTACTCTGGCATCTCGCGCGGCTTTATATCACTCTTAGGGTTAAGGTGTCAAAAGTATACGACAAGACCTCCCTTGTCGAGGCACACACTGTATTTTTCTCGTAATAACTCGTACGTGCGACCACACAAAAGTCACTTACTACACATCTATACATACTCGTATACGAAGCCCCAGTTTCACGCCAAATAAATTAACAAGTTGATTTCGTAAAATAATTGCTACTGTACATTAATCTGCTATGATATGTTTGTAATTAATATAATTAAGCTACACATGGTACAAAGATGTATGTATAATAATTAATGCAGCATGTATAAAAATATATATTGCATTTACAATTGCAGGTCTCTAAAATTCGTGGAATATGTAAAAAAAATTACGATTTCAATTAACAATATAAGACACTTTATTACTAATTGATATATCCTGTAAGCGATGTACACACGGAGAAAATTTTATATTAAGTTTTAATATAATTTTAAATTACACTTTACTACGTCTGAAATTTTCCCTGTATGTATGGACCCTCGCAACATAATTCCGACTTAATCTTTACTATGGTAATACTAAATTTTATCACATAAATAAAGTAATTATTTTGTTAAGCCATATTCTAACATGAAAACAGTTAATTTTTACTATGGTACGCAAACAAAATTTGCTATAGGTATATATTTTTTACTTATCTTTACAATGCTAACTTTCATTCAACAAGATTTGATTTTGTAATAAAAAATTTTACTATAAAATTTACTGTAAAAAAGTGTAAAAATTACGTTGTATTATTGTTTTTAAAAAAATAATTCTAGAATTTAAACTTATAATTTACATGAAGATCGGAGCTACTACTATATTATAGTAATTTTAAATATAAAATTTTCTCCGTGCATACAATACCTACAACCTGTTTATGTATTATCGACAGTTGATCTCTCATTGCTGTAAGAATCAATTGTATATATAATCCGCAAGATCTGATTATTATTTGTCAGTACTTTGGCACACTGGTGCACTCGACGCAACGAAGAGAGTTAAAATGTACGGCCCTCTAATTAAATTCTCACTCCAAAAGAGTTGAAGTACTGTCATTATTGAAAAAGAGTGCAGAAAACCCTTGTTTGTACCCTCGAATAAGATTTTCACTTTTCCTTCTCCAGTGAGATTTCTTTCCTTTGTGGAATGAATCACGGAGTGCAAAACGTTTAGCTAGAGCGGGAGAATGTATAATAGCCTGCACCGACGATCATTAAGCATACGCTTGTAATATGTTTACACAGCGTTGTTCCTCGCGCAGCCATCAATCACGGCGAACGTCGAGAGTCGGTCTCGTCATTCCACGGAGGTCTTAGACGCTCGAGTTCCTTTCTATCTCGCTTCGTTGCCACTCTAGCTCGTCATTTCCGACAGTCGCGATGTTAAACCATTGTCACGCTCGTGACAAACGTATCGTATATTCTTATGGTTTTAATTTAACAGCTACAATTTAACAGCGATCGGTTAGCGATACTTGAAATACCGCAACATTTCATTCAGAGAGAGAGAGAGAGAGCTTGTCTTAAATCGGAAAATATCTTTATATACGTATACTATATTTTTAATATTAATATATTTTTATCAATGATAAAAGTGAGAAAGATAGATTCGTCGTGAAATCGTATGAAATTGTTGTGTTAAATGCCTGACAAAAGTTTATAGTATAGTATATACACATATACTTAAATTTAAATAGTAATAATTTAAAAAAATTTGCGACGAATTGCAAAAAAAAGACGCAGCTAGAGTCGTTCGCTCTCGAGGTAAGATGCATACTCGGTTTCGTAGGAGAGGAAGAGTGAAGAGAGAATTTTGTGTTGAGGAGAAATAAATTGCGCATGTTTCACATTATATTTTATACAGTTTATTCTTCGTTTGGTCATAAATGTTCCTTCAACGCAGTCGTATGCTGTGAACGAGGATTCTTAAAAAGTTAAAGGCACAATATGGTAAGTATACGATAGAGCCAAGCGGCATAATTTATTAAGGCACTTTTAGTAACCACGTTACTCTCACCAAGTGTCTCACGGCGCGTTTACTTTCTCGTCTTGGCTCGAGAACGTTTTAAACTCGTTCGGCATTTGAGACACCCAGTATAAATAGACGCACTTTGCTCCTACAAAAAGCACTTACTTCCACAACTTTGCCAGCAACGTCGATCAGTCGATTCGTTTCTTACGCACTAATTCATTTAAACGCTCCAAAAAGTGTACACTAATATCAAAGTGCTTTGCAAATAAGAAGTTTGCATTATCGGTTTCTTTGTATGTAGTTTTCTTTGTTGATAATTCTAATAGGTACTGCATGCAGACACGTTAGCACTTGATAACGATATGTCGGAATTACCAACGATGATACGAGCGTATTGTCTAACTCTCTCTCTCTCTCTAATTATTACTCTCTTAATATCACTAGATATGTATATTTATATGTATATACAGCATCACACGTATATATATACATATAATATATAAATATGCGTGAGAGCAACGTGTAAAAATCTGTTTTATTTTTTATTCAACTCGAACGTAGATTCATATAATTTAATAGGTTAATTCTGAGTAGAATTGTAAGGCTTATTGTAACTTGTTCTCTTGTAAGACTTTTAAGAACTCGTAGAATTGTAATTCTACGCATATCATACGACGTACATAATCATTCAAAAATGTCTACGAGTCCTCGTAAATATTATTGCTGGCAAGAAGCTGTCTGTAAAGATATTGCATAAAATTCCAGTCATAAGTTCTTACAAGTCTTACGAAAACAAGTTACAACTCTTACAATTCTGCAGCTTAGGATAGCCCGATAGACCCATAAAGTTAAATATTGGCACAATCTTTGGTACAAGTTGCATCATCAGCAAATCGCGTAATCAGTAACAAGACATACCTCTATATATATATATATATGTATATAATAATTTATCAGTTACCATATCTTACCGTCAGTTAAATAAGGTCGAATAAAAAACTGCCGTTACACGCAGAAATAAATATAAATGTTCATCTTTTGAAATAATTGAAATGATGTTACGTGATTCTTTTGATAGATTTGTAAGGGAGAAATTCGATTGCGAACAATGCAATATTTTGAAAATCCACCGTTTTTTTAAAAGTCTCGTCTTTTATAAGAGAGGTCGCGCAACAAAAGTTGTTGTGTTGTGCGCGCGTATTTTTAAAATAAAAGAATACATCTGCAAGTCTAAAGTCACGTCAAGACGTTTCAAGAAGGAATCGTCGAGAAAAAAGCGTCGGACCGAGATGTAAAATACGTCAAAATATACGTAGGTATATGTATATAGTATAAACAGTAAAACGTTCGAAAAGTATCGGGATACGCAATTACGTATATGATTTTCGTGTTTTTTAAGCGTGCACGAATTAATTGTTTTCGGTGATTCGACATAAAAATCGGAATCGCAACTACTTATATATACTCGTACAGAGGGCGAAAGTAGATTGATGTGCAGATTATCGCGGTCCGTAGAGAGACGCGCTCGAATGCGGATGCTGCGAATGCATCGGATAATGGACCGTGTTGACGTGCGCCGATGACTGTCCATGATGACTCGGGTATGAATGCGTCCAATGGCTACCTGTTGCGGCGCCGTAGAACTGATGGTGTTCCTGGGAGGTGTGGATTGCACCCGGAACCGGAATCTGCATCGGCGCCGGAATCGGGATGGTCGGGATGGTCGGCATGGCGTTGTAACCGGATGGGAGGAGGGTGTTATTTATGGTGGCACTCGCAGTACTCGCGGCTCCCGTGGCTGGCCTTTTCGCGGGATTCGGCATCCCCGCCGCACCGACGGCCGTCACGCCGTCGCACTCGTCCGATTCGCAATCCCGAAAACCCTTGGCGAACGGGTTACTGGCGATCTTGAGCTGCGTTATCCGATGGTTCTGGTACGCGGTGACCGCGGTGAATCTAGTCTCTGGAAAGGAAAACGTCTTGAAGTTCTCCGTACGAGGATCTGGCGCCGAGCCTGGTGGCGAAGGAGCGACCACTACGTGACAACGCGGCTGATAACGGTGCATCGAATTCAGGATAATCTGCAATGCAAAGGATCTTGACTTTGGTTATCTTCAAAATCAAACACGCTCCTTTTCAAGGAGCATACATATATCTATTAAACGCACACATAACGGCTATTGTTGTTTCCAACAAAATAGTCACTCGCATTACGAATTTTCGAAAGAATTGATATCATTTAATTTAGTGTGATCGATCAAACGCCAGATAACGTGCAATTTCATCCATATTGACAATTTAGAATCGGTTCAATTTCAAAGAATGGAAAAAGAGAAAAGAAGAGATTGAGTCCTTCTCTCTCTCTCTCTCTCTCTCTCTCTCTCTCAATTATTGAACACAATTTAGAAAATTTGTAAATTTAAAATCCCCTCCCCCTTTTTTTAATCTCAAACAAGTATCAACGAAAGCTCGATCGGATATTATAAATATTATGACAAACGTTTTCACGCAGCCGATCGTGATGAGTACAATTTAGGTAAAATCGCCTTCGTATATACATACATACGAGGAAGCATATAGGAAAAAAGATACGAGAGAAAAAGAAGAGAAGAAATAGGAACACGTGAAGCTCGTATTCGATGGAAGGAAGGAGCGCCACAGGGGGGCGGTCGCAATGTTTGACAGCCACGAGAGACTCGGTGACTAATTAGTGTAAAAACTAACCTCCGACCCGTAATCCGACACCCTCGTCCTTTTCTTCACGCACTCACGCGCATATGCTTCGTGATGCCGTATTCGTAGATGTATCGGTAGACTTATAAACGCGCATATAACGTTGTACATATACACGCGAGAGGAAAAGCGTGTGTGGCCTCCGAAAATTAGGACGCCATTTCCCGCGAGCCAACTTTTCACCGACAATTTTCCTCTCTTTTGCTCACAATATCATTTGATCCCCTTTAACACATCAAACATCGAATATTGTGCGCTTTGTACATTCCATAGATTATACATATAGTACATATGTATACGTGACACTTGACGTAAAATTTTTCATCTGAAAATACCTTGACTCTTACGCTAAAATTTCTTTTATCTTGCAATCTATATCTATACATTTCGTATCGATATCGAAAGTGGTAATTTTGCTCGAAAAAAAAGTGTATACATAGATAATAAAGAGATTGCCCGAGTCTTTTCTGTGAGAGAGAGAGAGAGAGAGAGAGAGAGAAATATAATGTTGTCTCTCCCGAGAGTACAATATAGTTATGCTAAAATTGAATGCTATTTTATATTTATCTCTGCATTTATCTTCTCAAAGATGAAATGTAGGGCAAAATTTTCTTTTAACGCGATATCGAGATATCCGGAAACGCCTCGCGATAGCGAATGTCAATTAAGGACGAGCGTCGAGGCGAGCATTCCTGAGCCGCCTACTGAGCGAGTTTTTATGATTTTTTTATGCGGCCTGGTGCCAGATTTTTCGGTACGCAATTAAAGGAACAAACTGCTCCGTGTATAGCGCGAGAAAAAGAACGACCTCTCGCCACGGGTCAGAGGTCCGTCCTCTCCTGCGAAAGAAGAGCGATACGTTCTTGGGAGAAACGCGAGTGGAGGCCCCAAACTTTCCTCCTTCTTCGAGTCGAGGATGTTTCGAATGTCGAAAAATAAATCACGTCTCGAGAATAGACGTCGGCGAAGAATTTACGATTGCATAAATTTGAAACGTGATAAAGATTATGCCTGAATACACAGAGAGCAGTATATTCGGTTGCGAATAGTACTTACAATTAGAATTGGAAAGAAGACATATACGATTTTACAAACAAGTATGTAATTACAAAAGTGTGTAAATGTCCAAGAATGTCGATCTCTTCTCTTGCACTTTAAACTTCTCTTGCGCTTAGATAAATTTAAATTTATAGTATACTCAATATTAAAAACAATACTAAAACTAAGAGCTAGTTACAGCACAGTTATTACATACATATATTTTTTGTTGAGTTGTACGATTTTTTTTTATCGGGTTATCCAAGGTTGAAGCAAAAATGACCCTTTTTGAATAACTCTGTGAAAAAAGATCGCACAACGTTCAACAAGAAAAGCAAATTAAAGGTAAAGATTCGTTCTTTCGAACGCTGTAAACAGAATTTATTGGCAGTTTTTAATTCAGGCCATGGAATTAAAATTTTTTAATTTAACAGTGTCCATTTATATCCCTATAACTTAATAAAAATATCAGATCAAAGTATCAATTATCTCGAAAGTAGAAACTTCAAACTTAAAATACTTACTTTTTTAAAAGTCTCGTTGTCATCATTTTCGATCAAGTTACACTCTCTTAAATATTACTTATTTTTGAAGGACCAAGTTAATTTTTTTGTGTAGCGTATATATTTCGACAACTTGGCTCTCAAAGGCTAAATAAAGATATAAAAGATTAAGTATCTTTTATAGAAAAGAATGAATATTGCTAATAGCATTTAAATAGTCTGCTGTAACTTGAGATAGACAGACCTATAGTACATGAAATTTTGGCCGAGAAGAAAACATTTGGTCAAGAATTAATTTTACTAAACTTATACCGTATGCATGCAAGCAGGGCTGGTCATATTTCAAATACTTTAATGATGTAATTTGCCCAGCTCTGCATTCAAGATTGACATAACTCGATATTGTATCGGATATCTAGTGTGTACAGAAATCTTGTTTGTCTAGCAATGTTTGTCGCTGAACGATGGCGGTATCCTTTTCGTATTAGGAAATATCTGATCGAATTCGAGTTTTGAAAGCGAATGACTCGACCACCTGACCTCCTTCTATTAAACAAATTACGATTGACACACGTGCTTACGGTGTTGGCATGTTGCATCGTGTGATTTCGTTCATCGGTATGTCGCGACATTATACGACTCGGGGAGTTTGTTTCACGATCGTATTCGGCAAGAAATTATTTTCGGCTTCGTAGAGTCTTTGCCGCAAGTACGTACCTACATACGCCCGCGCCGCTTCCCAACCAGCAGACAATGTTTTTAAAACGACTTTTAAAAATATTCATTTACAATGTAAAAAATACTTGATAAATATTTTAAAAATTATTTCACGATCAACGTTCTTTAAGATTTTGACAATTTTTATATATAACATACAAGCATAAGAGACAATAAAAACGGATCCTTTGATGCATGAAAGGGTTGGGAGCGAGGAAACTCAATTAGAGAGAGAGAGAGAGAGAGAGAGAGAGAAAACTTTATGTATATGTACTTATAAATATACTGGCGAAAAGTTGAAAAGGCTTTAATCCCCCTTCAGACCCTGCACACATTATTGTAATGTTACATCAAATTTGAAAATGTATTATCCGTTGAAATTATTTAATTCTATCGCTATCGTTTGATATAGGTATATTATTTGACGTATATATAATAATATATAATTATATGTTAGAAAAGTCAACATGTTGAAAAAAATTAACTATTTAGTATGAATTACTTATTAAAGGTGCATGAATTTAATTAAAAGAAATTTATTTTAAACATACATATATATATGCTTTCAATAAAATCAGGTGTGAATAAGGGTTAGGTGATAAGCAAGAAAACAAAGACATTTACATTAACAGAATATTAATATTTTGTATGTGATTAATTCTTCTAAACTGATATTATTATTATTATACCCCCAGCTTTAATATTTTCAAAATTATTCCTAATACTTTTATTTCGATTTGATTGAATAAATCTGCATTATTTCTGATTATAATAGGAATTATTATTTATAACGTTTATATTTTATATTTCAATCTTTATATGTTATCATATATGTATATCAAATTATCGTGACAAGTATAGGCTTATTATTATACATATATATATATATATATGTACGTACTTATTACGCCTCGTAAGCGTTGGACTTGTACAATAAACTTTCGCAATCGATTCCGAATCAAGATCGGACGTCGCACGATGTCAGAATGAGCAGATATGCTGACCAACGCTATTCTTTCTCGGTATAATACTCGTTACAAAAAGTATGGTCTCTTTCCCAGGGCTTATAACTCGCGCGCAGTTTACATTACATCTGTTTACGTTATTTTACACACACGACACTCTCGCGCGGCGCGGCGACAGGAAGGCGAGAATAATACGCCGCAGGGACAAAATATCTCGAGCCTAAAATATGAATAGCATTAAACTTTAAACGTATTTAATTAGATAGCTATTGTATAATTACCTATTTTCTATTTCTTTCGCTGCGAATTTCGAGCGAAGCTTTTACATTGTAAGCGACGTAATCAAAATATGACTCTTGTAAAAAAATTAACGATTAGAAAATATAAGAGAGAGAATATTTTCAGTACACAATGTAACATTTCAAATTGTTTTTAACAGCCATTAATTTCAATTATGATTGTATCGCTAATTATTTTGCAGACAACCGACACCGCGCAACGAGTGTTAATTAATTATTGTTAGTAAGAAAGGACGAAAATCTCACAGAGTCTGCAGTTAATCTGTATTAATCTATTATACATATATGTATAATGAGGGCGGCGTCTTTTAAACGATAGAAGAATCCTCGTGAAAACGTCGTTTTTCGTGCCGCGTCGTGAATTCTCTCCGTAATTTCTCGTGAGCGACACACTCGTATCTTAGGTCAATTAAGACGAACTCGTGCGTAAACGACAAACACGTGGAAATCCCCACATCTTTCATTCTACTTTACTATGTAGATTACTATGTCGATGTAGAAAACGACGATGTAGAATACGAAGACGTCGCGTAAAGATTCAAGCGAAGAGGGTTCAACACCGAGGCAAAGTCATGAAAGAATACGATTGCAGACAAAATTGGAAATGTCGTTTTTTAAATTAAATTAAATTAAATTTAAAATTTTAGTTTTCGCAAATAAAAGTGGGACGATAATATTCTGCAATATGTTTTTCGGAAATAAATCGGAATAAAGTATTAACGGCGCGTATATAATTGTAAAGAAACGTAAAACTACGCTCTCGCAGAGTCGTATGTAAGTAGAGAAAGAATCAATCTCATAGAATAAAGACTCATAGACTCACGTGTCCGTTATCGTCAAGCTGATTGTTAGTCAATTTCAACTTGTCGAAGGAAATAGGCTGCTTCATCCAATGAGCGCCACTCGCAGGACTATCGGGATGCACGTGGATCCTGGGGGGTGATATGGGATCAGCGCGACCGGCTACGACCCAGGCACTGCTGTGGAAAGCATATCGATACCTCTTGTCGTCGCACGGGACGAAATCCATCACCATCAGATACTCGGTGTTGGGGTCTAAGCCGAACAGTCGACACTGTCGATCAGCAAAATTATTCGTATATAGGTATATATATATATATATAAGTCATCGGATCGCTTCGGCTAATTAGGAATATGATTTTCGAGGCAGGTCACTGCGATCGTGTCACGAATGTGAGATGCGCTCACCTGAAACGTGGGGAACATTCTTCGTCCGGCTTTCGTAACGATCATCTCGGTGCCCAGCTGATGGAATTCCTCCCAGAGCGGCTTCGCCTCGAGAGCGGCGCCAGCACCGAGCAACGCCGGATGGAGCGGCCGTTTCGCGCTCGATTCCTCGAGGACGGAAGTCCCGCCGTCCTCGCTCGGATGATGGTCACCGTGATGACTATTGTTATTGTTACTATCGTTGCGCGATTCCATCGTGGTAGATCGCGGGGAAATCGGATTCGCCGAATGAATCGGCAAAATAGCCTTCATCGGATGACTGGGACTGCGTGATCTCTTTACTCTTCCGGCGCTTTGCAAACAGGCTGCGAGAAGACAATGCGGGGTACGATTCAATGGATAGATAGATGCACTTGCGTATATCTCTCGATTAAAGCGAGCTCGCGAGATGAGAACGAGTATAATATATTTCTTTTATTTTATGTAAAGTGCCTCCGTTTCATTTTGTTATATAGTGTCGCTGCTTTACACTTTAAGTACGGGAAAACTGCGAAAAATACAGTTAGTGATTAGTTGATCTATAGATTTATATATATATGTATCTAAATTGGAAATTATCCGCGGCGTAATTTAGAAAAAAAAAAAAAATTTAGATTTATCAAAAATACTCAACAGACCAATACCTCAAAAATCTCTAAAGCTTATGTTCGCAATGTTACAGTACGTAAGTTACTTTTACTCTACTAATCGTTACCAATTGTTTCGCACATGTAGTAACACTAACACGTATCAACTTTCATCAGTTAGCTTTCGAATCATAAATAACTGTTGTAACTCGAAAATACGAAACAAACAACGATAATAATGAGCGATGTAACGTTTTCTTTTGCTTGAAAGAGAGAAAAGAATACTAGGGATGCACTGGATAGTAAAATTATCGGATATCGGACATCTGAAAAGGATGTAACATCGGATATCCGATATCCGACCGGGTTCCGGGACAATGTCTGAAAAAAAGCTAAATAAAAAAAGAAAAAAAAGGAAAGGGCTCTCTAAAGGAAAAATAGTATATATTATAGATAATAATTATATAATTATAATGATGTAATTATTAATATAATATAATTATTATAAAATAATTTTAATTGTTTGCAATACAGTTCAACATTAGTAATCAAAGTTTGATATTAATAAATTTTTCATTATGAATAATAACATTTCAGCATTTTCCGGTGACAATCTATTTCGATTATCGGTATATAAATCAATTTTCCTGTGTTGAAAAGTCTTTCCGAATGTGCACGGAAGATGATGGAGCACTAAAATATTTCAAAGTTTTGAGATTTGGATACTACGAAATATGAATTTTTTACTGTGTTAAGGGATCTACATTTCTCAGTGATAGAGGTTCTGTCAGATATTTTGTCAATTCAAAAACTGCAGTTTTCTATTTGTGCATCAAGCGCTTCATGCATGTGTAATCCGGAACACGCGCTTTATCCTATTCCTTTATCCTTTTACGTCTAATGAATGATAAAAATTGAATGACACAATATACTGTTGATACATTTACCGAATGCAAACTTAGCTGAACTTGTTGCATAATTTTTTTTTACCTCTCCAATGTGAAAAGAAAAAAAAGGGGAACTATGTACGAAGTTGAGATGAAAAGAGTAGAAGTCTGCATCAATGATGCAAGCTTTCAATATAAAATTTCAACCGGATACTAACGACATCCGATTATCCGGTCGGATAGTAAAAAAGTGCCGGGGGTGGATAATAACCAGATATCGGATACTTTTCGGATCTTTCCGATGCATCCCTAAAGAATATTATTACTTATGTGCAAAATGCAACAATTAATACTATAAAGTAGTATGTATGTGAAAGACACACGATAAGGTCCGACCGTCGCGTCGCGACCGTCGTGACAATTAAACATTTCGCGTATTACGAATACTAGCAGCAGATTGAGTAACGCAATTTTAAACTAAAAAATAACATTTTTTCTGTCATTCACCTTCCATTTGTTGCATGGGCGACGGTATAGCGGGCAGATGCTGCTGCTGCTGCTGCTGCTGCTGTTGCTGCTGCTGCTGATGATGCTGTTGCTGCTGATGATGATGATGATAATGATGCGCCGACCATTGCTGGTAGCAGCAATTATCGGCGGCAATTTCGCGTCGTTGCTCGTGATGTTGCGATTGCATCGTCAAATTGGCGGTCATCAATGGATGTCGGTTATTACAATTAGTAGATATTGAGATTACGTGACGAAAAAATAGAAATTATTCACGTGAATCCATATCGCGAAATTTACTTCAACTTGGTGCGCCTTCCTTGGATATAATTTCCAACGTAACGAAAGATTTAATGACGCAAGACGACACCATTCGCACTCGCGGATTAATTTCATCATCATAAGTATATATACAAGTAGTAGCTATCCTTGGAAACTTGGAGCATGGATCGATTGCCACTCGAAAGTGTGAACGCTTGGGCCGCTGGATCAGAAGGCACGCACTTTATTGAAAATCATTGTTTCTGCACGACCTCATCTCACCTTCGTGATACACGACGTGGGTATGATGCGATGGTATATGATCGTTGGCCGCGATCCGCGCGTATATCGGCTTATCTCGGTAATCTGCTTTTTCGAGAGCGGGCTTTCATCAGGATGCAGGAAAATCTCGTTTTCCCAACCCCTACCCCTCCTTCCTTACGAACACGTTATTAATGGGTGGTGGGTTATATAAATGGTTATATAAAATATAACGTAAATGCGAAACAAAAGCGGATTTCTTCAGCGGCTTCCCATTGAAAGAAGATCCGACCGTGATTTCAGCGGGCGCCGCCCGCGCCGTGACACCGGCGTTCCGATCTCGACCGAGTGCCCGAGGAATACCCGATGTCTCGGCATCGTCGAGACGGAGAACGAGACCGTTTCGCTTTGCCGTCAACAGGACTTGTCCTCACCTCCGTGTCCGGACGTTGACAAGGACGCTCAAAGCCGCTCAAAGCCGCTCAAAGCAGCGCGCCGCGTCACGCCACGCGAATCCCGGATGAATCGGAAAGAACTCGCCCGAGGCGACTACCCCGCTCTAGCTGCTTATCACCGCGACATCGTTCTCTCTCTCCGAGACAGCTTTTCGTTCGGTCTCTCGATCTCTTGGCTCCGCTCGCATTTGGAGAACCGTCCCAAGACTCCCAAGGAAGGAGAAGGATGAAACGAGAGAGCGTTGCGAGAGGGAGGGGCGCGAGGGGAAGAGAGGAGGGCTTCTTCGAGGATCCTCCTACACCGACGCGGCGCCCACCAGCACCCACGCTGCCGTCGCTGACGCGCGGTTGGCCGTTGGCCGTTGGACGGCAATCGGATGCTGCACGAATCTTATGGCCTAGCTCTTGCTCTTGCTCTTCTTCGATGCCAGAAGGCGGAGCTTTCTTCTCGCCGAGCCAGAAACCGAGCCAGAAATGTGTCAGTGGTAGGTTGGTAGGTAGGTAGGTAGGTAGGTAGGTAGGTAGGTGCAATGGACTCAGGAATGGGCCTTTCCATTCTTGACACCCGAGAATAAATATTTCTATTTTATTTACATACATATATGTAGCTCCTCACATTCAACGTGCTCCCCATTATCGAGAGCACAATTGGGAAGAAAGGGAGAATGCGACGATTCTAGGTGAAAAAATAATTTCGAAATGAACAATATTTTTTCTTCTGTGAAACAAATGCTTGCTTTCCAAGCATTCAATTTGATAAAAAATTGGAACAGAGAGAGAGAGAGAGAGAGAGGGGGGGAGAGAAAGGGAGCGGCTCCAAAAAGGGCTAAATTGAGGTATGCAGTCTTCAACTCAATCAAGTTCTTTTCTTTTCACAGAGTTATTTAATAATACTTGTGTACTACGTACAGTTGTATAGTGCCGAATGAAATATAACTATGTGTACTGTAATATTTTCCATTCATAGATCCACATGATTCATGCTCGTGCATGCTCTCGCTTCAACATTCACATAAATTCTGCAATCTATCAATATTGTATAATATATTAATGCGCGCGCGCGCGCGTGTGTGTGTGTGTAGTAATATATTTTAATATAAATTTTCATTATCGGAAACGAAAGCCTTTTTTTAGTATTTTCAATGTACAAGATCGTTAGTCTTTTATTCTTCATCTATAAAACTTTTTTTGATATCACGTGCAAGAGAAAAAGTTCGATTTTGACATGGCATTTTGAACAAATGCTATGACAAATCGGAACCTTTACACATATAAATGCAGACGTAATATAAATAATTGATAAAACAAATAGAGAATTAAAATATGTAAATTTTTTCATTTTTCTGCATAAAATAGTTTCTCATCTATACATAATTTAAAGTCACTTATATATCGATGAATGTTATTTAAAAAAAAGAAGAATCAATTTCGTTAAAAATATAAAAATGGTACATGTTACCAAAAAGAAGGAAACGTATCGATTTCTCTTAAAATTAATTATTTCGCCTATGTTTGCAGATAAGCCTTGATTATTCTCCTATTATATACGTATACTCTCTTTTCTTTTGGAAAAAGAAAAGAGACGAACGAAGACGCGTCAAGAATTACGATGCTTCTTGTACGTCTCCTCGTATCTCGCGGAGTTTGCGCTGGTTTGCGCAATTCTCGGTGACTAATCTGCTCTTACAATCTTAGATCGCATGTCATAATGTGCTTTTACTTCTCCCCTTCACGATACTTTTGGCGTTTCGTTTTGCATCTCACGACACTTTAGTCAACAGCTTCCTAAGTAACAATTTTGTTTGTGCATGAAACAGAGTGCTTTTGGCATATTCCTTTTTGATCTTTAATTTCCAAATCCTCCTACGGTGCAGCGCGGACGCGTCTCCATTTTTGTAATTGATTATTAATAAATACAACACTATTTATATACATAACACTGTTAATAACGCTTACACGAGAATGATTATCAACAAGTAGAATAATTATTTGTTATAATTATTTAGAAAGATAAATAAGTCGAAAATCTTCTTCTTGGCCGGCTCGTTATGATTTTATTTTTTTGCTAAATTTATCATTTGTACCTATGATACACTTGGTGCGAAATAAAGATCGAGCTACGATTGATATATACTTTTATACAGGCTTTGAATACCAGAAAGTTGAATTATTTTAATTACGGTCCCTAGTCCCTATATATGCCTCCCTTTTTTCTGCTTTTTTGTTGCTGTCTCCTTCCTTTCCCCGTTTTCTCGCTCCACTGTACTCTATTAAAAAAAAAAAGTTTTATTACGCAACTATAGACTAGATATTTTACTTGCTAACCACTATTGATCTTAATATTATTCTCATTGTATTTAAATTGAACCCTCTGGAATTACCAAGTATACAAGTAACGCTAACGAAAGTGCGTCACAAGGAGCTTAATAACGATTGGTGTTACCAGTTTAGCCCTTGTACATACACGTCTCTCTCTCTCTCTCTCTCTCTCTCTCTCTCTCTCTCTCTCTCTCTCTCTCTCTCTCT